TGCGCGTGCGCGTGTGTGTTCAGCCGGTACACTGGTGGCGGCGCTGATCCACATCTCATCCGTTTGACAGACGGCGTTTTGAGGTCGGCTGCCTGCACACGTCAGGGCAGAATTAAATGTTAACCGGGCCGCGGACCGACAGCAACATGAGTGCAAACAAATGGAGGCGCGAGGAAGCGAGCTGGGCAGAGGGTGCTGAGGCGAGCGAAGAGCGCGGCGAGCTTGGCGAAGATTTAAGAACGGCAGGGTAGGCAAAGTGTGCTGAGGTTAGCGAAGAATGTCGAGGTAGGTGGAGTTGTGGAATTTCTGGATTTTTTTTTTTTTTTTTGAGGTCCATTTTTTGCCAGGGGAAAAAAAATACGAATGAACGATGACTTGATATCCATTAGCAATGAAATCAGCGTGGCAAGTAATTCTGGCAGCAGGGGGAAGGCGTTGGCGGCCGCCAACGAGTTCCGCGGGCCCCTTCGGGCTCCACGCACTCACCCTTTGGCCACATGGAGAAAAAAAAACCCCACGAGAGGCTTAAACTGCTCCCATTCACGGCTCGCCCGCTCTTTTACCGACAATGCGATGACGGTTGGAAAAAAAAAGGGGCGGCGTCTCAGCGCTAGCTCCAAGGCAGCTCCGTTCGCCGCCAAGCTCCTAATCTCCAGATGAAAGGGTCTGATGTAACGCGAGCAAAGCGGAGCGTGAAGGATCGCTCTTTGTTTGCCCCTTTCTTGCCGTGGAAGCAAATCCCCTTCATCGCTGTTTGCCGTGCGTTTGGCGTGTTGACCGACGCGCGGCGGTGCTCGTGGAGAACGGCGGAGCAGTTCTCGTCTTAAGCTGGGCACACACGGCTACTTAGCCTGTGTTTTTTCTAGCCCACACACTTTTTCAATTGACCGTTGTCATGTCGCGTGTTGGGTTGTGTGCGGATGGGAATGAAGGATGATGATTTATTTATTTTTTGGTCAGGATTTAGCATGTCTGCCTCACAGTTGTAAAGTTCAGCGCGAGAATCTCAGTTCCGGACTTCCTGTGTGGACATGCCGGAACCATTTGCATGTGTTGAGTGGTCAGCTGATTTTTCCAGGCTCGCTGTGCTGGATTTAAGATTCCGGATGTCACTTGTCAGGTTAATCGGCATGCGGATGAGGCGCGTGGTCTTTTCAGAGTGACGGACAGCTGAGAGTGGTCAACATGTCGGCTGGTGCGTTGGCGTTACGTCATGCAAGTGCCCCACTCTGAAGTCATCACCAAGACAACAAAGGGCTCATTTGCATATCGGCAGCCGGCGGTGAGGTTTTGCGGAACAGGGGCGGCACCTTTTGAGAAGCGTCGAGACGAGCGACTCGCCGCGCCGGCGAGCGGAATGAAATAGCCAGCCGGTGGTTTGTTGAGCTCCGCGGGGTCAGAGTGCAAATTAGAAACTTGCGCGCGTCTCTTCAGCCGTGATGCCCACTTGAGTTCTTGTCAGTCCGTCAAAGAAAAAAAAAAACAAAAAACCCGACCCCGTTTTCACCTTTCACGCTCTCAAGTACACATTCATGTGTTCACTGAGCGGTTTTGACGGGGAACATTCGGGTCAATTTAATTCGAGTGCGACCTTCCGCGTGGAAGCCCGACTGTCCAAACCGTCTCTCATTCATTCGTTTTCTCGAGTGCTCGTCCTCTTGAACAAGCAGGTGAGCCCGGAGAGTCTTTTTTTCCAGCTGACATGAAGTGGAAGTCAGGCTCACACCCCTCGATTGGTTGTCAGCCAATCGTAAGCCAAAATATTTTGAATAAAAATTAAATTCAAGTATTTAAGACAGGCGTTGCGGGCCGAGATCTTGCTCTCCGCTCACCATGCCTACCACCACCCACCCCCCCATTCTTCATTCCATCAGTTTTAGGAACCTCTTCGTACCCAAAGTCTCCACCTTAGTTGTTCGTTTCAATTTTTTTTTCCCCCCGCCGAACAACTGGAACCACTCTGCAACAAATAAAACACACGTTAGTGAGGGGTGCCATTTTTTTTTTTAAATTCACCATGATGTCATGTGATCTGAAGGCCCAGGTAGCGAAAAGCACAGCCGGTATGACGACGCCCCGCATCTCATAAAGAAGTCGTCGCCCCTTTTGATTAATTAATAATGTCTGACACCAAACAAGCTTGTCTTAATTTCACGCCGTCATTCCTCACCAAAGAACAACGTGGCGGCGGCGCCTCCCACCAATCTTTTCGCTCACTGGACCGAAGTGAGAGCGTCGCTAAACAGCCTACTCGCCGCCACCGGGGTTTTTTTTTTTTTTTGGTTAGTTATTTATTTCGGGTCTTTTTCTCGGCACGTTCCTCTCGGGTCACTCCCTCATCTCTCTGTTCTCTCCCGCCGCGGCAGATAACTTCCCGCAGATGGCCCATCAGAAGCGCTTCATTGAGCGCAAGTACCGGCAGGAGCTGAAGGAGATGAGACGCGAGCGGGAGCGCCAGGAGAAGGACGGCGACGAGACCAACGTCGGCAGGAAGTGAGGCGGCGGGGATCGTTTCCGGGCTCGCCACGGTTTGTCACGCCGCGTTGACTTTGAAGCCTAAAAAAAAACCTAACGAGACTCGCACAAAGTCAGAAACACGGAGCGCTCGTCGTCTTTGCTAGGACGAAAGCGCAGCAGGAGCGAGCGCTCCCCGCAAGACAAAAACTTTTTTTTTTTTTTTTTTTTTTGGTGTTTTTTTAAAGCTTGAATGTGAAAGTAAATAAATGAAATTCGAATTAAGCTGTCTGCAAATCAAGTCAATAATTAAAGTCGGCTGCCGCCAAGTGTTGGAGACGCCGTCGCCATCTGTCCCCATGTCTTGACACTCATCCCCTTAATAATCCAAATGGGATTGTTTTTCCTTTTTGTTCCCTTTTGCCCTCGCGAATCCGATTGGCTGTCAAGATGAGCTGAATTTGGAGGTCATCTAATTGTTGAAGAAGCTTCCGGATCTGTAATAATAGCATTGGCTAATTTCCTTTTCAAATATACGCTCTGCCTCTCGGGGAACTGCGCGAGTCTTCTTTTAATTTCCTTGAAGTGATGTTATACCACCAGTCTCCCAATTTCTTGACAGCGAGAGAGTGAGAAGAGATACTAAAGGGATACCGTGTTTTTTTTTTTTTTTTGTTTTTTGTTTTTTAAAGGGTCTAGCCTGTTTGTCGTGTATACTGAAGGGATACCGTGTTTTTTTTTTTTTTTTGGTTTTTTTTTAAAGGGTCTAGCCTGTTTGTCGTGCAATTTCGCCAGCGTTCTTGTTTCGCCTGGAGATAAAACACGTGCTAGATAACCAGAGGAAACACCTTTTGAAGATATTTAATTGTGTCATATAAATATCCAGTACAAAATGTCACGTTGTACAAAGCAGAATTGATGGAGGCGGCGGGCCCGCCGGGCTACGGCAAGCCCTCCCGACAATTTTATTTTATTTTATTTTTATTGTTCTACGCTCACAGAGACTCCACCACGTTTGTCACCAGCGGCCCAACGGCGTCTACACATCGACAAGCACACGTCTACTTGATGGCGCCATCGCGGGGGAGCGGGGTGGGGCGGGGGGGACCAAAATGACCACGTGCTGAACACTCCACGTAAAAACGTCGACTTTGTGTCGCTTGGCTGTGTGACGGATGTGAAAGGAGCTCACGCGCTTGCTTCGTCCTTCCGGTTTTCCGTCATCTGGTTGGATCGGAACGTCTCTGTAAGGCTGTCACTTTTTTTCCCCACTTGCTAGTATAGAGCCAAGAACGTACTTTCAGCTCTTTGTTAGCTGTCGACGTCAAAGGTTAGAAGCCTCGTTGACGAGAGTTTTTGCGGGTGCGGGGGGAGGCTGAAAGGAAATAAGACAAACCACCGTTTCGGTGCCTTTTCAGGTGAGAGCGGGCCGTTTCCGACTCTTTTCCTCCATTGTGCCAAAAACATCTCCAAACTCCATCATCAGTGTGGACTGGGTTCCTCAGCGGATCAAATCCACGCAAGCAAAACGTCGACGTAGCTTCATGGTCATCCGCAAACATTGAACGGAGGCAACGTCTTGGTTGTTGAAGATGTTTGATCCCAAACTAGCGACATCAATAGGACTCCACAGCTCAAAATACAACTAAGAGAAGTCTTTTTCAATTCAAGTGGAAACGTCTTCGACAAGAGTCCGGTTGCCTCCGTCCAACACAAGAGTGAATTTTCCTGCTCGAATGTCTGAAAAGAGACCAGCTCGCTCTTTAGATGACATCGAGGAGGAAACGTTTGTCGGCTTTGGCCGCCCGCTTGATGTGACAAAGTTGGACCGCCGCTCCTGGCGCCTTTTTCAAGCGTGACGATGACAGTACCACTTCCTGAAGGCTAGGGGGCGTGGCGCTGTGAGGACAAAGACGAAGTGGCTGTACAGTGTATTGTATCATGTAGCGTACACAAGCAGAAGATCACGATATATGTAGCGGGACTTTGTCGCAGAAACATTGAAAGTATGCCACCGCTCACAGCGTCCGTCGCAGGAAGAAAAACAAAGAAAAACAATGGTAGCTATGCGTGGGCGTGGCCTACATCCAATGCACAGGGGTGTCCAAACTTTTTTCTTCCCGAGGGGCGTGGACAGAAAATTGAAAGCATGCCAGAAACATTCTGACGTTCTTCCGTCTTTGTTCAACGCACAAAAACCTTTCACCGTTCCACAAATCTGCGGTTTCTCATTGTGGGTGCGTTTGGGAAATACCCTCCGACAGCACTGCTTCACTCACACCATTCAGAAAGTCCGAATGTTGTTCAAATGTGCCGTTCGGTTTTTTTAGAGGGCACCTAAAACGGATCCCGGTGCAGGCCGTACACGGAACGTAAACAGTTGAAGCACGAGTTCCCGATGACAGGCTGCGTTCAGAAATTAATGCAAGCGGAGCGCACTCTCCCTCTGGTAGCACGCGAGGACGACGAAGCGTCTGCTAAATAACCTTATTCAAGTTGTTCTTTTTTGTTTAAAAAGACTTATGTACCAATTTTGGTGGATTCCTGCGCCTTTTGGTGCCGTAAATTCTTGTTGGGGATGCGTCGGCTAGTTGCCACGACTACCGTTCTTCGTCTTTGTCTTCGAAATGAAAGGCGAAAAAGAATGATAGTCATGGCAACGAGCGTGCATTTCTGCAATCGGGATTTACATCGCTGTATTTATTTTCAACGTGAAATTTATTAATTGTAACACGTGTTGAGAAGGGTTGTCTTAATTTTTGTCGTAATAAAGGTGTAATAAACAAAAAAAGGAGTTTACATGTTTTTTTTCGAAAACAAATCATCTAAAAAAAATTATTTGTTCTGTAATACCTATCAGTTATTTCAATTCATCTGCTATTATTGAGGTTTTGTTTTGTGTAATAATTTTAAGGTGTGTTGCGACCCCCATCCTTTTTCTTTTTTGACCGGTTGTATCAAATATTTGTTGTTATGTCCTGGTAAAAAAACAAACAAAAAAATGGACATGGGCCGTGGTTCAGTCACCCCTGCTCTATCGAAAACCAATTTGTTATTTTTCTTTTGTGAAATAGTGTCATGAGCTGTGATGAAAGCATTTTTGGAGGATATGCTGCTGCAGAATGGCCCCGCAGTTTGGACACCCCTTGCCCTAACAGCTGACGGGACACACGAGGCCTACTTCCACTCAAAAGGGTTCTTCGAATGTCCTTTCGCCAGCCAACGCGGCGAGACATCGTTACGAATCCCGGTCGCTTTCGTCGGCGCCGTACATGTCGGCCAGTTTCTTAAAGCGCGGCCCCCACTCGCTCAGGTAGTTGTAGTCTTGCTCGCCCTCCGTGGTGGCCGACTCCAGCGAGCTGAGCGACTCGGCCACCGAGCCGCTGCCCTCGTAGGCGTACGTGGCCAGCGAGTCGTAAGGCGGCGCCGTCGGGTCGCAGTCGTTGTCCTGGATCTTCTGGTTGATGAAGTCCCGCACGTCGCCGTTGTTGTCCCGCGCCGAGTGGGGCGCGGGCCGGCGGACGGGCGGGTAGTAGGCCTCGGGCACGATATCCCGCCTCTGTTTGCCGTCCTCGATGGCCTCCGGGTTGCGCAGCGTGCCGATGTCGAAGGCCTGCGTGTCCTCCTCGCCGCCGCCCTCGTCGTTGTAGCTGACCACGTTGTCCCGCACGTCCTCCTTGGAGATGATCAGAGGCTCCTTCTTGCGTTGCCTCCTCAAGGCGGCGAACAGAACCACGATCACTGCGGGCACAACGCGACAAACTCAGAGCGAGCTTGGAGTCCCGAGGGGCGCTTGTTGATGTGGCGAGCGCTCCACTGATCTTTGAGGACTTTGTACAGCGAGCGAGCGTCAAGATGCATTATGGATTTGTCAGGCTGCTGCTGCTGCTTAACATCACAATTGAACAAAGCGCTCCTCTGATGAGTGCGACTCAAACATGGAACAGCTTCGTTCTGCTCGGCTACAGCACACAATTTCAATATTTATGATGTTTTTTTTTATTTTTATTATTATTATTTGACAATCTGCTGCGCTGAAATCCTGATCGCTCACTAGAACAGCATGTGGGACATATAGTATACACTCTTGCAGAATGTGAAATACATCCCCAATTTTTGAGGTGCTGTTGCAGCTTTAGTTTTTTTGTCGTAATATTACTACATTTATTTATTACGGTGGGAAAGAACTTTCCTGAAAATGAAATTTTGGATTCAAACGTTTTCACTGTGAGGTTTTTGTTCAAACGTGTATTCGGACCACACTGAAATTAAAATCCAACCAAATGGCGGCTCCTGTCAACACAGGAAGCCGTGAAGCAAGTCTGCCCTGTACTCACTGAGCAGGATCATGACGCAGAGCAAGATGGCCACCAGCGCCCCGGTGCTGAGCCCGGCCCTGGCTGTGAGCGCCTCGGCGTTGCACAGCTTCATATTGCCTTCGCGATCGCACGTGCACACGCGGACCGTCAGCGTGCTGGTGCTGCTCTGAATGGGGTTCCCGCTGTCTGAGATGACCACAGGCACATGGTAGACGCTCTTCAGGAGGCTGCTGTAGCTGTTCCTCCGCGTCAGGATCCACGCCGTGTTGTCTGAAACCATGCAAGATTGCGACGATCGCAACGAGGTCGGTTCGAGAAATACGAGAAGATGGATAGCAGACTACCTTTGTTGTCGCGGACAGAGAAGTTGGCCTTGCCGCTAGCCTCCTGGGCCAGACTGAAGAAGAAGCGATGTCCTCCTACCGGCTCGTCTGGATCCGTGGCGCTCACCGTCTGGATTCTCTGGCACCACAAAGAACATGGCTAAGAACAGTGGTAAGACCAAAAGTTGGGTAAGACTTTCAGATAAGACCAACCATGGATATAAGCCTAGAGGTGTTCCTCAAGGATCAACCTTGGGTCCACTTCTTGGAAAAAAAAACGTTTTTAATCTTTCCTGTATTATCTCAGATTGCTTTGTTCAATTACACACTGAACATTTATACCTCAAAGCCTTTTTCATCACAAATTCAAGAATCCTTACAACATTTTTCAGACTTGGCTTTTTGAAAATAGATTCCTACTTAAGCAAACAAAAACATGCCATTTTTTTTTCTTATTTTGTAAGTCCGCTGCTTTGTTTCTTCTTCCACAAGCAAAAGACCAAGGTCTGCCAGTGCCAACTGCACTAAGAGCCTCCGAGAACGCAATGACACCAAGGTAGGCGCTATCATGTTCATGCATGTCGTGTTGAGAACCTGTGCATGTAACCACAAGGATGCCGGCGAGGGCGGCACACCCACCTGATTAGCTTTGGCGTTTTCGCACACGAATGTCTCGTAGTTGGTGGCGAAGGTCGGCGCGTTATCGTTGACATCGAGCACCCTGATGTAGACGACCACGCGGCTCATCTGGTGCATGTTGTCTACAGCAGAAATATGATACATTTAATTCCCACTACTTACTGGGTATTGGTGCTGAGCCCTGCTGCCAAAATGTATGATTAATTGACACGCCCCACTCCACTTATCTCAAGTCACCGATGTACCGTATTAATAATTGAGTATTTGGGGAGGTATTGAATCCACGCGTTGACTCACTGAATTCGGAGGCAACGACTGAGATGTTGTGCCACGCGTTCTCCTCGCGGTCCAGCTCCCGCAGGAGGAACACGGAGCCGTTGATGGCGTGCACGTCGAACACGCGGTCCATGTCGGTGCGCCGGTCGATTGAGTACCTACACGTGGGAGAAAGGTAAAGGAGGCATGTATCCAGTTCGTGGAGTCTTGCACAGCTTGTTGGTTAAAAACATGGACTGGTTGCCAGTTAATTTACAGAGCACAGAACTGTGAGGAGAATGGGCTAACCACTCCTCCACTGAGCAAGCTCACAGTTTGTTCAGTCAGTTTGTTTAAAAACAAAAAAATAAGTGTCCCTTTATTCCATATTAAGTCTCCTTTAAATGTGATTCACACCACCTCGCCTTTTCTTTTCTTCCTGCTGATTTTCAAGCGGAGAAGCAGGAAAGAAGGAGAAAAAAAAATTAAGAGACTGTTTGCGTGGAGTCATCTTTGAAAGGAGAGGCCATGTTTGTTGAGCAGGGCGCAAATTGCTTTTTACAAGTCCAAGTGGAGCTACGCAAAAGACTTCATCAACACTTTGTCGCCACCTCCGTTTAAACGCTTGCAAATTCAAAACAGGATGCTTCAATTACCGCCTGCACACACACACACACACACACACACACACACACACACACACACACACCCGCGCGCACACACACCAGCTAGTTATGCAGTGCACCTATTTCGTTTTCATTTGAGGAGGAAAAATACGCCTCCGAATTTGCAAAAATTGACTTCAGTTAAGCGAAGGTGTTAATATTTTATTTCCGTATCCATCCATCCATCTACCCAAAGGCTCTCGAACAACATTAGACCTTTAGAAAGAAAAGAAAGAAAAAAAAAAACATCTTTGCATTTTTCTTAGTTTTGCCTCTTTACAGTCATTCAAAGTAGGGAAATGAGCGCGGCTCCTTAAACCTCGCTCGTCATCCTCGTCATAAAAATAAGGTCCCTCCTGACAGCAGGCAGCTCAAATGCACCAAAATGCCACGGGCGGCTAGCCTGCTGATGATAGCCGATAAAAGAGAATCATATCCTATTTGACACCTGCAATAAAGTGCGAGAACTTCAACCTTGAGAGCCAACTCCCTCAGTGCGTCGTAAAAAAAAAAGAAAAAGCCGAGGTGAAGGCCGCCGGTGTGCAGCACCCCAACCGCTCCCCACAATACTTCCTGAAAAAGTCAGAGAATTCCAACTAAGTCGGGTCCTTCTGAGGCCTCCTCCTTTATTTGTGAATACTTTTCCTGTTAATGACCCACTGATTTGTTGAACTTGAATTATTAGCCAGAATTTCCCCTTCAGGGCTGAAAGTCACACTTGTAAATTGAATTTCGCACGGAGACAGACACACAGCCATTTTGCATGCATTTTGCTCGTCTCTTGGAAGTTTAGGAATGCCACCTTAATATTGCAGTACCGCCGCGTAACTGCGGGGGCAGTGTTGAGATTGGATTTACAGAAATGGTGGAGTGAGGACGTTGCGCCCCTTTGCATCCGCCTCGCTGAGAAGGGTCGGCAACATATATCCATTTAATTTAGCCGCCCTGCACCAAAGTCCATTTGGAAAGTGCCACATTTTACATTTGTTTATTGTTTTACCGTAAGTGAATATCATAACGGAGAAACTTTCAATTTGCAAGCCAGCAGCACTGCGTTACCAACACTTCGGCTTTATTGTGATGTATTTAGGCGCCGGTGCTTGTTTTTTATGAGATGATGTTGCTCACCTGACAGGACTCCGCTTGACGTCCGGGTCGGAGGCGCTGACGGTACCGATGACGGTTTTGGGGGCCGTATCCTCCCGTACCTCCATGATGTAGCTGGTGCGCTCGAACACGGGCGGCTCGTCCACGTCCTCCACCGTCACCTTGATGGACGCTTCGTCTCGGAAGGGGCCCATGGAGAAGAAGCGAGGGTTGACGTGGAGGTTCTCCACCTGGACGCGCAGGCTGAATTGACGTTTGCGCTCAAAGTCCAGCGGCTGGAAAAAGGAAACGTCACTTCAGTGGTCAGGAAATTTTTTTTAGCGCGGTGATTTTTTTTTTCCCCTTCAAAATCCATCTGACCAACCAATGTAAATGTAAGCTCCCCGGTGGAGGTAAACCACACATGCCCTTGGCACTGCCTTAATTTGGCACCTTTTAAGGGCCCAGATGGGACTTATTCCCACTTGACGAGCTAGTTTAATTAGCGGGTTGAGATCGAGGGACGCAGGCGCAGGCTCTGCCCGCAGTGCCGCCATGGCAACAGAGGCCAATTATGTCACTGTGCTCCCACGGCCAACAAAAAGGATCGAAACGCACCGACAACCGCGCATTCTAGCATGTACACCATCATCACCGTGTTACATAAATGACTGAAGATGAATTATTCGGCCGAAACGAAACAGTTTCACGTGAGGCCGATTGATATTCTTAATTTGCCGAAAATAACATGAGAACAAAAACTCATTCAAAAATGTCACAATTTGACCAAATCAGTCTCGCCTCCGCTTACCTTCCTGAGCACCATGACGCCCTCCTGCGTGCTGCGATTGGTCACGATGTCAAACATCCCGGGCCCGTCGCTCCCGATGATCCTGTAGTCCAACTCGGCGTTTTCGCCGATGTCTTTGTCCACGGCGTGGATCACGCCCACCGCCGAGCCTAACGCGGTGGACTCGGGCACCTTGAACTCATAGAGAGCTGAAGAAGAAAAATAAAAAGACACATTTTCCATTTGACTCATTATGTTCTCCAATTAAATATTGCTGAGAAAAAACAAAAATTAGGCTCTTGTCATCGAGTGATTTTCTAATTCGGGCTGGTGCTGGAAGCACCACTTGGTTCAATCTGTGCCCATCCCGGCGAGCCTTGTCGGGTGTTAAGATTGATCTTTCCCGCACAATCAATTTTGTTCCCGACGTGCGGATTAATTCTTCTTTTATTTGGACTTTTACAGGAAGCGTTTGTGCTCCAAATCGATGGGCGCCTGTCAGCCGCGTAAACAAACGGCAGCGACCTGATCATAAAGCACAGCTGACGGGGTTCGGACGACGCTTGAATGGGCGCCGGCTGCGTGACGCACAAGCCCCCGATTCCCCCGACCTCCCTCCCGACCCCCCTCGAGATAGCGATGGCGTCAAACGGTTTATTTGGTGAGCGCACAACAATGCTATCGCTTCCTGGCAGTTCGGCTGGCTGGAAAATGACAAAGTGGCTTCAACGCCGTTTTGCCCGGGTGGGGAGTAAGAGTCCGTATTACAACGTAAGTCTTTTCATCCAGATTTTTTGCGGATCATTTTTTAAAAATTCTTATTTTTGGAGTTGTTTTCAGTTCAGAATCTCGACAGTATTGTCCACCATGACCAACATGTGCGCCGTTGCTCTGATGCCGACTCACTCTTGGTGAAGCGCGGCGGGTTGTCGTTGACGTCTGCCAGGGTGATGCTGACCGTGGTGGTCCCAGAGAGACCCCCCATCTGTCCGGCCATGTCCTTCGCCTGGATCACCACTTGGTACTTGTCCTTGACCTCTCGGTCCATGCCCGGCAGTGCCGTCTTGATCATGCCTACAGCAACAACAAAAAAACCAAATCAAAAATAAAATAATTTCTTCATTTTAAAGCCATATCACGCAGCCCTAATAATTATGAGGAGAATAATAATGAACTCTTTAAAAGCGAATTGGTTGTGAATTTTTGCGCTGCCGTGTAACTGACGGCGGCTTTATGAAGCGTCATCGTAAAGATAATGAACTTCCTTCTCGGCGCATCAAACATCCCAACGCGCACCTCAAAATAGTCGCCCGGAATTAACGACGTTCCAGCGAAGGAGATTTATGCGCCTCGTAATGAAGTCGCCGAGACGCCGTCGAGCGCGTAGCGCTCCTTTAATTCAGGGGTTGTCGCCCGAGTGATGGATGCGCCTCGTTATGCGGATCGTTTGCGCAAATTAAGATTTCTGATTGTTAATGACTTTTTATTGTCACGCCTTTATTCGGAATTAAAAAAAAAAAAAATCAATAAAATAAAAATGTGCCAAGAGTTCAGCAAACGTGACGTCATCGTGCTCTCACGTCAAGGACACATTTTCATTTGGTTTGTAGTTGAGCTGGGTCACATGACCTTTCACAAAAATAAAATATACAATTAAAAATAAATTTTTTTCCTTAAAAAAAAATTCTATTTATTTTCCCCCCCACCCCCTTCGCATGTAGAATAGAAAATTTTGACTTAAAGTTCAGTATGAGTAGTTTCGACAGATGCTGATACTCTTTATTTTATCGCTCCTCATAAAATGCTCTGATACTATGTGCACCGATACCACATCCGGCATATAATTCATGGGATACTTTTAGGCAACGACAAACTCATTTCGGTTCTATTTTGTACTTTTTTTCCCCTTTTTTGTATGTTCCTCACTTCTCTCTGTCTGTAGCCACATTGTTCATGTAAGCGGTGCACATCAACGCGAGGACGCACTTTGAAAAATCAAAAATCAACATGCATGAGTTGATCAAATTGGGGAAAAAAAAAAAAAAGCATTTCCCAAAATGCAAAAGCTTTTCCAACCTTCCAGAGCTTTCACTTAATTGTCGAAAGCTGATTTCTGCAGGGAAATAAAAGTGCAAGGAGCACGTTGGGCAAAATCAAAAACCGGATGACAGCTCGGGAGTTCATTTTTGCAGAAACAACTTGATAGCCAAAGTTGGGTTGCATGTTTGCGTCGTATGAGGTAATCCTTCTCCCGAACATGCCATGTTCATCCATGTGTGTGCGACTCATGGCGGCTTACACGTCACGTGTGGCCTCAAACATATTAACGCTAATCCACACGCTAATCTGCAAATGGCTTCGTTTTTTTATTTATTTATTCCCCCCACCCCCCGCCCCCACCCCTCTTCCTTTTGTTTGGTGATCAGGATAGGATCCAAAGCGCACATTAATGATTAAAAGTAGCAAGCTGCGACATTTGCGCCTCGCTCCTTTGACTCCAAATCCCCAGCATGACCTCCTCTCACCCCGCCGCGCCCCACCCGCCGCTGACCCTCTCCCTCCTCCCCCCTGCAGCTGCAGGACACGTGCCGCCATTTTAGCTCCATTCAAAGCAGTACAACATTGTGAATACCGTATGGAAAAAAAAAAGAAGTATATGTTTTTCAAAGAAAATGCAGACGTAAGGAATCACATATCAGTATTTCTGTAACGTGCAATACGAACATGCGGCCGTTTGGTAAAAGTGAGAAGCCGCTGACCGGTTTCGGGGTCCACCGAGAAGTAGGGCTGCCCCTCCAGGATGCTGTAGACCACCTTGGCGCTGTTCCCGTAGGTGGCATCGTCAGCGTCCAGCGCCGTCACCTGGATGACGGGAGTGCCTGCGGGGTGGGACCAAAAACGGCGTTTTGTTTCGTGCCGCCAACGGGATTCTTCATGGACCCACATTTCACATTTGTATTTTACAATTCGCGTCGCTGGTGTGTATGATTTATTTTACGTCAATGTTTTTGCCATGTGATGATATAAATTTGGACTCCAAACGGTTACGTGGGATTTTATTGATGGTTGCTATTGTTCCGACGTGATACAAAGAAGTCCCCAATGAAGGCGTGGGTAGCAAATGAACGGTTAGCTAAGCGCTAGCTCCCGCGTGGCTCCGCCGTGTTGCCTCATTACGCGCGGCGCCAAATTAATTGAGGGGAAACATTTAATGGGTGAGAAGTCCAAAAATAGACGCACGCGTGAGAGCCGCCATCTTGGCTCATTGGGTGTTAGCGCAATATGCTATGCTAATATGCTAAAACCTTGTTGCCAAGGAAACCTGCAACTTATTTTGAATTTGCCTTGATGAGGTGTGAGATTTTTTTTTTTTTTTTTAATCGATGACAAAATAGTTTGAATGCTATTTTTCATCATTAAGTTCGAATTACTTTACCAACTATTTTGCAAAATGAATAATCAAATATTCATGCAAAACCAAATAAAAACCTTCAAAATAATCTAGAATTTGGGGATTCGGGCAGGCGTGAATCATTTCCTTACCGATGTCGGCCATCTCGGGCACCCTGGCGATGTAGGGGTCTTTGGTGAAGCGCGGCTCATTGTCGTTGATGTCGTGAATCTTGATGATGAAGTCGGACTCGCCCTCCAGGGCCTCGTTGGTGAAACGGTTGACGGCCTTGGCGTGGAGCACGTAGTAGGCCTTCTCCTCGCGGTCCAGGCGCTTGGTGGCGTGGATGTCGCCTGACTTCTCGTCGATCTTGAACAGCGTCCCGGCGCCGTCGCCCGTCAGCACGTAGCGCACGCTGCCGTCCTCGCGGTCCGAATCCGAGTGGAGCTGAGAGGAAGATCGCAATCGCCGTCACTTCTTCTTTCCAAATGCAAACACTGACTTAAAAGTTCCAATTTGAAAACCTCTTTGGTTTCAAATCCTGCTTAGTAACCCTAATCTTGGCTTAAAGCCCTAATTTTGCTCTCAAACCTTACCCACGATTTGAAACCCTATTCTTCATCTTTTCACAGCAACTCAGAGTTCAAACAAGTGACGCTCCCATGTTGTCTTGTTTCATTCCTCTGCGCCCTCGCCACTGCATCGATCCCCTTGATGCCCTACTCGGCTCACCAGGAGGCGGAACAGAAGTCAATGCGGGCGCGTTCACAAGGTCGCCGTACCCCACATCGGATCAATGCCTGATTGAAAATACAATTCAAGTGGCACAGCTGGACGAAGCGTTTGCTACATGAGCATTCTGGGAGCGCAACTAGATGTCGCTAGCAAAACTGAGCGGGACTTGACTGCGCGCTACTAGCATACAAATTGTGGACCTTGACGTGATTGGTTAATAGTTCGGTCACAAGAATTGTCAACAGAAATAAATGGTGTTGGGAAAATGTGACCGTCGCGGTCTCGCTGCTTATCAGACATCTGCGCGTCGCAACTTAGCCGCCAACCGTCTTTGTTCGGGAAGCGAATCCGCCGGGAGCGCGGCAAATGCTAGCACCCGATCGATGCGGGCGCCACTCGAGTCGTGCCCGGCCATGAAGATAGCATGAGAAAGGGGCAAGGGCTGGCGTGCAGGTGGGGATGGGGGCTCGGGGGGGGGGGCACTCAGGGCAATTAGCCAGTTAGCCTCGCAGGCCTCATGTCCTGGCCTGTGGAGAACTGGCGGCCTTCAAGTGGCCAGATGGTCGCCTCACTCACAAATCGGGTGAGCAACGTGTGGTCATGTGGAAAGTCAAGCAACAGTGCACCCTTGAAGGTGCAATGGAGTTCCTTTTTTTTGTTTGTTTGTTTTGTTTTTGGTGCTCTATATCCCTCCTTTCGAAATGGTGCTAATGTGAGCATCTTCCATGGTTCATTGATATGTATGTTTTTTTTTTTTTTTTAAACCACAGGAAACAATGTCAATGTGCCCCAAATTTCTACACACGTATATTTCCGAGAAAAATGTTACCGGAGGAAATTGAACAGGACGACGGTTGCAGCCCAGAATGAAAAAAAAAAAAAATCATAATTTCCCAAAGCTTTGGCCTGGCTGGCCGGCTGGCTTGCTGGTGTCACGTAATGTGTAGTTTGATCGCGGCAGGTTCAAGATCACAGAAAACAAGCGCACATTATTATGTTCATTATGATATTAATTTCATGAGAGGGCAGGGGGTGGGGTCATGAATCCTCATCTTAGTGCCTCCTTGTGCTACAAAGGAGTTGAGCGTTATTAAAAGCGAGCGCCCCCCTGTGTACCCCTCCAGTGGACTCACCCCTCCCACTTCACCCCCCTCCTCCTAGCACACACTCTTATTATGCAATGATGAAGATGATGTTTTTTTATTAGCTATCTGTCTATATGAGGCTAAAAAAGAAGATGGTGGTGGGGGGTGGGGGGGGTGTTGCCATGGAGCAGGTAGAGTGGGGCTGTACCATATTGTTTGTTCCGTGCCAAGACGAGCAGCTGGTCCTCCGCCACCCCGCTAAACACACACGCACGCACACACACGTATGCCTGCCTGCGCACGCTTGCGCACACACACTTGCTTTGGGCCGTCACAAGACATTGCCGTCATTGCTGCAGCCGCTGAGTCACGCGGAGCTCGCAATCTGACTTTATCTGCGTTCGCACTGTCACTAGATTAATTTTAAAATGTTTGCTAAAAAAAATTATTTTGGGTCAGTATCCCTCAAAATCTTACTTAAGAGCGATTATGTTATTCGGCTAACGATATATCCAGCGACAAAAAAAAATGGCGAGCATTTTTCGGTGACTTTTAAGTCGCAGTGCATTTAAGTACAGTTTAGTTATATTTAACTTACTTGCAAACACTTCTTGAGGTAGTAGTTTTTTTTCAATGATTAATTTGAATGTTATGATGGCACTTGGAAATTTCGATATTTTCTCAGGTGCGACTTGGGGTGAAATATTTGACGGCGGGTCATCACGTAATTGCCACTTTATTTGGCAACTTTTAGCAACAAATAGACCTGCTAGCCAGCAACATGCCCTGAAAATGAGTTGGCAATGCTGCACCCCCTTCCTCTCCCCCGATCCCACCCGCCCGTTTGCTAATGCAGACAAACATGGCAAGGTCTGCCCAGTCGGCCCGTGAGCAGTGGGGGCCTATCAGGGGCTGTAAATACTTGATGAGATATGATAGTGCAGCACAAACACTGGCATTCCACCACAGGCCATTAAGCGTGTGCACTGCACACACACGCAAGCACGCACGCACGCAAGCACACGCGTGCCCTTTGGTGGAGTGGCCCCGTAATGCAAGAAACAAACATTCTCTTCCCCCGGTGACAGGAAGGCGAGGCCCTGCGAGGCCGGCGTGTGGCTGGCCTGCTAATGAGAGCCTGCAGGCGGCAACGCAACGCCGTCGGGTGACGTGGTATGATTACCCCCCACCGCTCCCACGCACACAAATCCCACGGACCCCCAAACGAATCGCTGCAAGATTCGACTTGCTTGAGTTTCGCTTGAGTCTGGGTTTCAGTTCGAGGTGCAAAGTTGGGTTTTAAACTAGGACTAGGGTTTTAAAGAAGGGTTTTAAACTCAGGTTTGGGTTTAAAAGCAGTTTTAAAATGATGATTGTAGGGTTTTAAAGTCGTTTTTTGGACCATAAATGATTAGCTTGTGGGTACGGAGCAATTTAATCACTCAAAACAATTCGGAATGTGTCGTCTGCGGTTTCAATCTTGCGCCCTCTCGTGTTCGGGTATTTCCGGAGCTGTGACGTCACCGACGTCAAACAATTTAGCGTTTCCCGTTGCAGGTGTTGTTGTTTTGAGTTACGTCCCTCGTCGTGCTTCATCACTTTGACAGTGGTTTATTCATTGTGTGACAGTTGTTTCAAATCACGGCGAAGGGAGTAGTAAAAGTTTCTTCAGCTTTCCAAAGGATAAAAAGTAAAATTCCATGCTCGGAAATGAAGCGGCACGGAAGAAAATCGTGGACAACTGTCGTCGCCAAGCGAGTACTCAAGCTCCGCGGTGACCGTTTCGAACTGGAGAGTATCGTATTCACGAGTGGAGCTCGACCCGGGCTGAAACTAGCTTCTGTGCCGACGTTTCCCTTCGGCAAAGCAACTTCAGCAGCAGGAAGAACCCCGGACGTCGCGCTGCATTCGTGAAGCAGCGCTGGCGAGAGGTGAGCAGTTATTTACACGCACCTGTAACGCCACCTAAAAATGGTCATTTGAATTGAACCGTTGAAAGAAATATATTCAGTTAGTGTAATATGTACTTATTCTGCCCGACACGGCGATGCCTTTTTGTACGGTGTGTTTGTAGGCTACAAAACCCCCCACCATTCAATGTTTAGTGCTATCGTTGTTTTTACTGTGCATATGATATACATCTACAATTTTCAAGCATGGGAAAATGCAGCTCCAGATTGTCCCCGTGTTGGAACATTTCATATCCGGCCAACAAATTGTTATGAATCCCACACGCCCAGCGCGGCTGACTGTTCACTTCTCGAAAGCTGTTGTTGTGCTACTGAGTTGAGGTTGCGAGAGCAAACGTATGTGGCGTTGTCACAGTCCATCACTTTTATTTTCACTTCCGGCTGCGATGTCCCGATCGGCTCAAACATGTCGGGTTTGACAACGCCCGTTTCTGTTGGCCCTTGTGTGTAAAAATTAAAAAAATATCTTCCTCGACTTCCAAAACATTGCTCGCCATTGAATGGAATGCGTTGTGTAGCGTATGGAAATTGTACAGTATCTCTTTGGTGTAGCTTGCTGGTCGTTTACGAAAACGTCACTTTCGGTCACCCTAGCGGTGGCTAGAGTAACTACACCCACGATGCTTCAAGCTTCCGGTTCGGTTCGGAAACCCTCGAAACCCGATTCCTAGTTTAAAAGTCGACTTTAAAAACCTAACTGTAATTTGAAACCCGACTTTGAAGCCCCAATTCTAATTTAAAACTAAATTTTGATACCCTAGACCAAGTTTGAAACCGTATCTCAAACCAATTACATTATGTATGTGTTTATATGTACGTGTGTGTATCTATCTATCTATCTATCTATATTTTTTTAACTTACACTGAGTGTGCGTACGTGCACAATATACACAGTTCTCGATCTTTGTCTATTAGCGAGGACGCACGCCGAGCGATACGCCGCTTTTGAGTCACGCTTTGTTTTCTTGCTGTCTTCTTTCGGACGTGTTGTGTTGTCGGCGATTTAATCCTTTTAGAGGCTCACTCAAAGTCACGGCTCGCTCGCCGGCCGCCTCGGGGAGGAGATACATGTACGTGGCTTCATCTCATTTGCTGGAAGGAGTCTATCCTGAGTCTTTCCATGCCGGCGGAATGCAAAGTGATCGAGTCCATTCAGAGGCACGCACAAAAGCGCTTTTCTTCCGTCGGCCCGACCTTGCCGGCATGGCGTCGTCACCCTCACGTGGATTGGGAAACGATTCTCTTGGGATGCGCTGCTGCCAAAAACAACCACCATCATTTGGACATTTTTACCGTCTTTGCCTCTTTTTAAATGTCATGTGACCAAAAAGCCAGAAAACAGGCCAACCATTTGCAATGCGAGCCCGAAGGCACTCTGATGCCTATTTCAGTCAACAGTAGAGGGCGATCGAAGACAAAATGAGAATTTTTCTGCCTTGGATTCCCCTGAAAAGAGTCATCGTTAAATTTGAAAGCCGGCGTTTTACCTTCCCAACATACTGCATGTCGTTGCCGGTGTATTCCTCCAGCAGGAAGAACTGGTTCCACATCCATCCTCGCTTGGAGCGCCTGAGCGGCACCCCGTTGGCGTCCTGCCCCGTCAAGCCTGTCGGCATCTTGTGTCCCGCCAAAGTCTTTCGCGCCGGCCTCAGCCCCGTGGCGGGGGCCGTGCCCACCTGGGCGGCGACCCACAGCGCCATCAACACGCACAGCGTCTCCATGGCGACCGGGCTTTGGCTCCTCAGCCCCTTGCCCCTCCTCCTCCCTCCTTCGGCGTTTTGTTTTTAGTGGTCTTCGGGTCAAAGTGATGTAACGGTCGTCATACTGGATCCGTAAGCAGAAAGTGAGCCCTCAGACGCAACCTGGAATCAGGAAGAGGATTTTCAGAACAAACCAATCGAATAAAGATGATGTTGAGGTCAATCAGTCACACAATCAATAAATTGGTGCAAGTAAGCCATCATAGGGTTCCATACAAGCTTCTTCTCAACTCCCTTTGTGTTTTCATTTTTTTTATTCATGCTTTTGGCTCCTTGTCCCATTCACTTAACGCAGGGGTCCCCAACCGCCGGTCCGCGGACCGGTACCGGTCCGCCGGGCATTTGGTACCGGGCCGCACAGAAAGAACTTGCCTTAATTCCGTTTTATTTATTTCGGAATACGAAAGATGTTTTATTTTGAAAAACTACCGGATTCTCCGTTACATCCGTCTGTGTCACGCTTGACTCACGTCAAGCCACGTTTCTCCATCACGTGACCGATTACCTCAAAACAATAGCACTTTTGCTATTTCCGACATCCTACCTGTGTGAGGCGGGGGGTTTCTGCAGCAACGGCGACGAAAACAAAATTACGAAGTAGACTGGACATAAACCACACACTTGAAGTGTCATTGTCTCCTATTACCCCGAGATGGGACCGTCTGGTTGCAGAAAATCAAGCTCGGTGCCGTGGTGAGTCGTCATTTTCATGCACTTTGAATTTGCGTTGTATCGTATTTTGAAGGCATTAAACACTGCCATAGCGATCGGAGTGTTGTGGCCAGATTAGACGCTCCTTGTGTTTATTATTATATTTCGAAAACGCCACAGTTTTCATGCAGCTCATACCATATTATTTTGTTGTATTATTTCCGCCACACCTTAAATGCCGGTCCCTGAAAATATTGTCGGACATAAACCGGTCCGTGGGGCGAAAAAGGTTGGGGACCCCTGACTTAACGGGTGAAAGTGCATCGGTGACTGTTGTTGTTTTTTTTTTCCCCTCTTCAGATTTGCTGCCACTCGAAATTCACGAGTGACAAAAATTCCGGCTGCAATACATTGCAAAAATCCATCTGATGATGCGCAATTATTTCCATTTTAAATCCAGTCTATGCTCTCTATCTAATCAACCATTTTCTCAACCTTTTATCAGCCAACAAAGCCGACGTCGTTTTTTTTTTTTCCAGTTTTTCTTTTCATGCAATAAAAATACGACATGATGACTAACGGTCTTGATTACAGTATTGATGACAATAATTAGGGGTAATTATTATTTTTTTGGGCCATAATTGTGCAAGTATTTTATACCGCTTACCAGACATTTGTAGGTCAGCTTTCTGGAAGCAGACACGAGTGCTAATGTACGGCTCGCCTGTGATCTTGGTGAAAACTTCTGTTTTGATGTGGCGCTTTTTGTGGAAAGCGCGCCAACAAAGACAACTTGAACTTGAATTTTGCGGAAACTTATGCTTGATAAAAGCATTCCAACTTCTTGTGGGCCTTTTGATGGGCACTTCCTGCTGGGCGCCGTTGCGCCTTCATGTGTTCGCCGTTTGATGGGCAGGCCTCTGCTGATAACACCAGATTGGAAAAGTTGCACGTGGTTGTACGCGGATGCGACTGCACTTTTATCTGCATCGAGTCGGAGAATGAGAATCATCAGGTAATGGAGCGGGGGAGGGCGCCTTTCGAGGGGGGCGGAAGGAGGGCGTCGGTCTGTATCTGCTGAAAGCATCGCGCGTCGTTATCACGCGCGGCAGAATGACCACGGCGGTGGCAACCTCACTTCATTTACTCGGAAGATAGCGCCTTACAGTAAATGCCTATTTGCGAAAGGCGACGGGCGGCCTCCCAAGGCCAAAGGAAGCGGCGTATGATGCGAGGAAAAGAAAGAAGTCCGTTGCGGACACAATTTTCGGTCCCCGTTATTCCGTTCTCGCTCCCATTTTGAAAGAGGGTTATCAGCGGGTCCGCAAGGGGGCAGCCTGCCGCGGTGTGGGGAAATGAGGGAACGGCGTCTCCGCACATGAATTAAGTAGCCTGACCTGCACGGTGAAGCGCAGCCGAAGAGTCAGAAGGGGAAGGCGGGAAATGGAGCGAGAAGTGCGGGACGAGGAGAGGTGGGGGACGGGTGGAGGCGGGGCTGGTCCTGATGATGTCACTCGCAGCGCGAATGTTTCCTTGGTTGAAATTCATTACGTGTGGGCGTTTGAACAAAGAGAACAAAGCTTTTTAGAATGTTTCTAAACAATAGATGCCAGGGTACTGACAGGTGCCACAAAGCGAGCAAGCTGACTAATTACTGACTTGAACCGAAAATAATAACTCAAAGTTGCTGAGTTTGGCCTTGTGTTGGCAGATATTTCCCGAAAAGTTGACTTTTATTTTTTTTAACATCCTAAAGTAAAATTTTTTAGCATCCTAAAGTCAAATCTAACATCCTAAAGTTCTCTGTTCCATCCTGAGTAGTCGGGTTTAACCCAATCCGAGCCTCACCCCAATCTGCCGGATCCTTCAAGACTTGGTCCAAGTGCAAAAAGCTTTGGAACTGTCTCGACGCCGACAGCTCCGGTCACCCCCAAATCCCTCAATCGCCGCGTTCGTCGACGGACTCCCAACATGAGCGTCAAAAGAAATTTGTGACGGCAAGATGAGTTTCTCAGCGTTAAAAGGGACGGCCTAACAGAGCAGCGTCAGCAGTCCCGATGGAGGACACGGGTCCATCCATTGCCGTCTCTGCCAGGCCACCGTGCCCTCATTTCTCCTTATGAGGCAAATTGAAGGCTCTCTCTTTTTTTTTTTTTTTTCTCCCTGCGTTGCACTTTACAGCATCCCCCCCCCCACCTCTTCCTTTTTCTCCCCGGCCCCCAAGCCGCCTGCTTTGCTTGCACGGGCCAAAGCTGATATGCATGACGGCTCTGCTTGGCTCTGAAAGCCACTCACTTTGCATGTGTCCTCTGCCGGGATCAGCAGCCGCTGCGGGAATTTAAAAAAAAAAAAAGAGAGGAGAGGAGCTTGGGGGGTCACTGACGGAGGTGCTGATGGAAGCAGGTGGAAGTGAGCCGGTGGTTTAATAATGCCCGTGGAGGGACGGACTGTGACCACCACTGCCGCTCCCCCCCTTTTGCTATCCAAATCCTCAAAACGACCACGCGGCTTCCCTCCCACACTCGATCGGGTTTTGACCTGATGAATTTATTTCATTGACAGCGCGGAAACAAAAAAAGTGACGAAAATGCGGAATTTGGTTATCATGACACAAATAAACGGGAGGCGGAAGAAATAAGGTGGTGGATAAAAAGTATTGGGACATGAAATGGAAGTGAAAGGTCAAGAATGAAGCAAAATTTGAAGAAAATCGGAGTGGGGGCAAAAGTATTGGGACACTTACTTAGATGAAGGGGGAAATGCGCAGTGTGGTCGGAAGTATCTGGGTGAAAAGCCAAGAAAATGTCACGTTTGGGCTAAAAGCATCGGGACGCCGACAGGAAAAAAAAAATGCCTGGCGAAATTACTCTTGGGATGTCGACAGGAATAAAAGCAATTCATTGCACGTCCCTCGCCGCTCTACTCGCCATCCAAATCCTCTAAATGCGACGGCGCGGTTTCCCTCCCGCGCACTCGACTTTATGAATTGCCTTAATTGACGGCAGCTCGGAGCATATGGGACGGGCGAGCTATCGATTAGCTGTAGGCCTCGACTCAGTGGAAAATACCAGCGGGTCCCTGGGGATGGGGGGGAGGCTCACGAAGCTTTCTGCTCGCCGTCCCCGAGCAGCGGCGCGTCGGCCTTTTCCATGGATTTCTTCATAATGTCACTGCGGAAAAGCTAATGCCTTGCGCCGTCGTGAGCGGCGCCGCGCCCCAGAGGAACACTCGCCCCTTGACCACATTTGTCAAAGCCCGCAGGTCATATTGCGTCGCTCCTTGCCCTCCCCCCATAACTCTCCTGGCAAGGCACCGGGCCCGGGAAGAAGTCGGTTCAAGCTTTATTATCCCACGTCAAATAACACACACAAAAAATAAAAATGTTACTGCCGGTTCGGAATGCTATCGGGAGCCGCGTGTCGCCCGGCGGCGATGACAAAATGCCTGCCGTGCCGCGTTTGTGCCGCGCGACGGAAGCCAAATGGAAGGAACGTTTCGCTCGTAACATTGCAGTTGACGCTTTTTATTTATCAACGTGTCGTTTGGACAAAATATTGCGACAGGTATTCGGAAAGAAAAGTGTCGGGGATACTCACTCGAAATGAAAAAAAATTAAATTAATAAAAATTGGGGTTTGTGAGTGTTGGGGCGTGTACGGGAATCAAAAAGTAAAAGTTTCGAACGCTTGCGTGAAAAAGGAGGAACGTGATTGTCGAAACACCTGCTGGTCAAAAGTATTGGGACAGCTGCAATGTGAATAAAAATGAGTTTGGACCAAAAAAAAAAATGTTGGGACACATTGTGGCAGCGAAAAAATGTGAAGTTTGGACAAAACAAATTTTTTTTTTCAAGACACAGAAAGTACTCCCGAGTCCAGAATGAAAAAGTGAAATGTGGACAAAAATATTGGGACGCGTACAGGAACCAAAACGACAATAAGCAGTTGGGACCAAAGTAGAAGGAGGGAGGAAGTGAAAAATAAGAATGTATGGAGGTGGACAAAAGTATCGGGACGTGGACCTGCTGTGCTGGAGCTTCCCAAAGTTTTTCCCCCACTCAGTCGGAAGCATCCAGTTAAGAATCAGGCCGATTGTCCGCATGGAATATTTGCGGCCTTTCTCCCAGTTTCTTGGAGTCCTGCTCCATGTTTGACCGCGTGGCCGTCGGTCCGTGAACAGATTGACTGTGTCAAGCGATCAATCGGAGCCGGCGTCGCCATGGCAACCGAGGACCAAGTCAAAGCGTTGCAGAAAAACGCTCCACTTAAAAGCAACAAATGTGTTGTGTGCGCTTAAAAGCTCTGTAAATTAGCCATTTTTTTTTCAATGCGCCGCTTCCCCTCTTTGGCTTTTATCCCCACTTAATAGCGTTACGAAGAATGAGCCTCGGCTGGATCATAAAGTGGCCTTTAAATGAATAGTGATCATTATTATTGTTGATTTCAAAGTGAT